CTCGCCTCCTAGGCCCTATGGGGAGGAGGCCCGCACTGGTGCCGGCGCTATCGCCAGCCCCAGTCTCCACACAATTTCCACGCATTTCACGTATTCATTAGAACTAATAGACAGTTTTTCTTATTGTCATCCTATTAGGATTGTCCTGTCCTCCTCCAGTGTTGCGAACCCTTGTAGGTCGCTAGCTAGCTATCGTCTCTGGGACACTAGCCAGCCCCATTGTAGTGCCTGTGCACTACACCTGCACGGATACTGGCCCAGTCGCCAGCCCCCATCTCCAGGTATTCATAGACACGTATAGTCTGAACATGTTGATTTGCTGATAAACTGCCTTACTTCGATGCTAGTAAGACGTTCCTGTCCTCGTTGAGCGTGTTAACCTTATAGACCAGCTAGCTATCTTCTTACGGTCACCAGCAAGCCCTATTGTAGTGCCCGTGCACTAGATAAACACTCTAGGTATACATTACGCAAACATCTATACACTGATCCTTCGAGATCACCATAAAGGGTGACCTAGCTGATAAACTCAGAATCTGTTCCCCTGCACACGTGGAATCCCTCACTATATTTTGCTTTAATACTGCAGCATGCGCAGATCCCTTCGAACGCTGTCTCATCAACACTGCAATACCAAGCATACCGCTCTTGAACCCTTTTCCGTCGGTGCACTGTTGGCACACATCTCCTTCACCTCGCCTGTACGGTGGTTTGAGTGAGCTGTAACCAGTGGTACTCTAGTGTCTTCGAGGCACCGAGAGGTTGCGTGGCGCTCCAGCCCGTGGTCCCACAGTTTGCTCAACTCCGCTCCACTCCAACTGGGCACCATAGAATCCTGAATACACGTCCCTACGCTACTGTGCTTAAGCTCGCGTCGCTAAACAAAACCGCAACAGCATCTTTAATGCAGCTGACATTAACCGAGACACGTGGACGACCACAGAACTACCCGAGAGCACAGCCAACTCTTTGCAGACTGAGAATCAAGGTCAAAGCAGCTAACTAAATTCCCTAATTACTACACTCTGTCAAGAAGGGCACTTATAATTCTCATTTAAAAGTGCTAAGCCATATGAGGCGTACGGAACTATTACCCTGCTTCACTTAGTTTGTACCATAATGATGAAACTGACGTCCCCCTTCTTGTTGCTGCAGAGTGTACCGATTCTCTTTCGCTTTTCGCACACATGACAAAAAACTGCATTCATCCACATTCTTTCTGTTTATAATTTTCCTTTGCGTTTGTTGGCAGTTTAGGGCTTGGGAAAGCCCCAGAGGCGACCATGCTTGGCTGTGTGGGGAGGAGCTGCGTTCCTTCTGGATAGTGTGGGGTACTTACACTTTGGGGCAGTTAGTCGTGATGTGCTGGATTTTTGAATAAAAACGGTAAGTATGCGAAATATATTAGATTGCTAGCCAAAAGTAGTATTTTTTTGTTTGCATTTTGCCGAATTAGGCACGCGAAGACTTGGTTTGTGTGAACAGCCTGGGCTTCCCTTTCAGGGCTTCCAGCGGCTGCTGCCGCCACGTTGACCCCGCTGCTGCTGCTGCAGGGCGAGGTGGCCTTGAATGTATGCTCGTAAAGGTGCCGTGTGGCTGCTTTTTTGTAGGATTTTACGTTTCTGGTGGTTCTGGAGCTAATGCACTTTTGGCAAGAATGAAACTAAACATAGCGAACCCGGCCTGCGGGCTCCAGAAAACTGTGGAGGTCGACGATGAGAAGAAGCTTTTGCCTTTCTTTGAGCGACGCATGGGGGCGGAGGTCCCAGGCGACTCTCTGGGGGAGGAATTTAAGGGGTACCTCTTCCGCATAACCGGCGGCAACGACAAGCAGGGCTTCCCTATGATGCAGGGCATTCTCGCCAACCACCGTGTTCGCCTCCTGTTCCGCACTGGTATGAAGTGCTTCAGGCCACGCCGAACGGGTGAGAGGAAACGCAAGAGCGTCCGTGGAGCTATTGTGGGTCCGGATCTTTCCGTGCTGAACTTGGTGATGCTGCAGAAGGGTCCCGCGGACATCCCGGGGTTGACTGGCGGAGAGAAGCCACGCCGCCTAGGTCCCAAGAGAGCCAACCACATCCGCAAACTGTTTA